CTGTTTAGGTAATCGGAGAATCTGCTAGGCAACACTGTAAAATATCTACTGTCACATCAGGGTTGCCAACTTGGGCGATTTATCGCAAAATGGGCGATACAAAATCCAAAAAAAGCTCCCATTTTTTAACATTTGCGATATATCGGAAATTGGGCGATTTCGAAAACGCTTACGTGAACTTCTTACATTTAATTTCTCTCATTCTCATTAGTCTCATTAGGACGTAGTATTTACATGCGCGCATATCTGTGAATATGGGATTTTTTAATATGAAATAAATTCAATTTTATTCTGTCGTTTTATTGTGAAATTTATTTGGACAACCTTGCGATTTTGGGCGATCTTAAGAAATCCCAACGTTTGCGATTTTGGGCGATATCCAGAGAGCATTTTGGCGATATGTGTGAACGAAAAGTTGGCAACTCTGTGTCACATTTAGAAAACAGTGGTACACATGTGAGGAAGTTAGGTCTGCGCATAAGTAGTCCATTTTTTAACATGTGCACTCATTTTCCATTTGTAAGATGCAACTTCTGTTAAAATTTCGTAAAAATTCGGCTACAAACAAGAAACTTAGCGTTGGACATGCGCCATTTTTAACGTGTGCTCCTTCAATTTCATTTTATAAAAAGAATCTTACCCTACAATTTCAGAAGGATTGGTCCACGAATGTGGGTCTGGGCATCCGCAATAATTGATTTCTGTGTTTTTAGCCTGCGTCGGTACAATTTATTTTTTGATGTGATTTAATTTATTCCTAACTTCTTTTAAAATTTCAGAAAAATCGGTCCATAAGTAAGTAAGTTAGTACTGCGCTTGCACAACCTATTCTTTGAGACATTTCAATTTGATTGTATGAGAAGCATCTTTAGCATATAGAATTTATAAGTATATAGTAAACGACAAGTAAAAATTATGGTACATGAATAAAAGCAGAAATAATTCCTCCCTGAGAGGCAAGCCTCGATACCAAATAGCGAAAAAAGTAGAACAAGAGATAAAGATGTAGTAGTGGCACAGCCACAGGGACGGAACGACGGACGGACAAAGTGGGCATAAAGGTATCTGCTCACTACACCGTACCATCATGACCGTAATAGGAACGTATCAGGCACGGAAAATATACGATACGGACTACTATGCGATCAAAAATGAGATGCTGTCGAGTCGCCTTTGAAATTTTTGTTTACATGGAAAATCGTATTTAACTTGAACTTCCAAAGGCGACTCGACAGCAACTCATTTTTGATTGCCCGTTACTATGCCTACTAGACCGTATCAACACCGTGCGTAACCTTATGCATTTTTTGGGAAACAAATTTAGGTATACTTAAAAGCGCCCTCTATTGCGGAGCAGTATAAACATGTACCGTTTAAAACTGTAATATGACGCTTATGGATTTACGCATTAGATGTCGCTGCAAAAAATTTAAAGCGGTAAAGTGTGCATATAATCCAGTTTAATTGTATTTTTACCAGGAAAGTTGTGGGGTGGTTTTGATTTCTTTGATTCTATATGTTTTTTGGGGTGCTGAATCCGAATCTGAGGTTTGCTAACAAAATTTCATGACGCAACAAACGCAAAAAAATACAAAAAAGTTGAAAAAGATATTTTTTTTAGCAGTTTTGTGCTTACAACTCGAAAACTATCAACTTTTCGAAAATAACCTCCCTATCTTATATCTTATCGGAGAGTGTAACGTTAATGATGGCAGAGATATACATAGTTTGTAAGTATGCCTTTGCGGTTAGCAATCTGTCAAGACCTTTAAAGCCGCAAATAGTTTCCGCCAACTTCAAAAAACCTTCACGATTCTTTAAGAACCTGCCCTATGTTCGTGTGTATCTGTGACCACAGGGACCCGCTTTTAATAACTTCCTTACGACGAATGAGTAGCTCCAGTGTTAAATTAAACAATTATGGCTCAACGTACCTCCTATCATATCATATCACTGTAATAATACGAATATTAAGGAATTCGAATTGTGCAAACTTTAGCGCTTTAATCATAGATATATAAATACATAGATACAGCCATACCCCAACATAGTTCAAAAGGACGTACCATCTATTACCATCACTTTCGGCACATTAATTACGTATAGCGCTATCCTTTATAGAGGTACCCTGAGCATGGAAGACAAGATTCGCATTATTTATTATAGCTGTCAATCAAATTGTTAGCACAAATCACACAGAAAATTATCAGATTTGAGACTTTACAACATAAATAAACCGCCTTTTTATTTATTTAAATCGCATACCAGCAAGAAATGATACATTTAAAATGGAAGATGTTAGTTAGAAAGCTGGCAAATGAAGAATTTGAAAAAATTACAGCTGACAACTGGAAGAAAGTGTGTGAACATGTGGAAAGTGATTAATTTAAAAGAGAAGTTATATTGGTTGATGTTTCTGAAGTTGACAGTGATGATTCGGATTTGTCAATTTCATCTGATGATGATTCGGATTGTGAACTTTTACAAACGTAATGAATGTTGACTAAATGATTATTATCACCAATTGGATATCATTGTTAAGATGTTGTATTTATTTTAAATAAATGTACACGGCGTGTAGCTTACTTACTACAATTAGCACTATAATTTCAAAAAGAAACCCCACCGATTGTACAACATATGCCGAAAGGGAGGCAAGACGCGTAGCGACCAAAATTTGATATTGCACGCACACACAGTCTATAAATCTCGTTTTCCTAAGAATATTGCACGGATCCTTCTTTGTGATCATATGATACAAACGCACTGCATCAACATCATATAGGCCAAAATGATAATTGGAAACGAATTCACTTCCTGTCGCAACTTAATCTCCGTTACCAATACGCCTAAAACCATGCAATTAAAATTAAAATGTTGAACATAAACTTTACTTACTTACGGTTTTTTTGGTATTCTGTAAGCCAGCAATGAATTCACTGCAGCACATCATGCCAAACAAGGTAAACATAGTCCCAAATTTGAATGGCGTAGCTCTATGTAATAAAACTATTTCAGGAATAACAATTATGAACGCGTCTATCATTATGGCAAGCACTAATGTTATTCGTATTCCATTGATAACGCAATAATTACATAATATTTAGTGAATAAACCGGCCATTTAGTTAGATTTGATTTCGCGCGATCGTGAAATGTGTCAACTGTCACATGACTTATGGGACGCGCTAAGTTTGTTTTAAGCGTCCGATTCGCGTACGACATAGAAGTTAATGCAATAAAAAGTGATAGAACATGTTTCTTCTTGGTTAGAAAGTAATGGAGAGATGTACAAATTTCTTTGATATGTTTTTTAAAAACCGAGGTACGTTTGTTAAGGATGGCTGTATCTAGGTATTTATATATCTATGGCTTTAATTTTGTTTCAGCGACATCTAACGCATAAATCCATAAGCGTCATATTACAGTTTTAAACGGTACATGTTTATACTGCTCCGCAATAGAGGGCGCTTTTAAGTATACCTAAATTTGTTTCCCAAAAAATGCATAAGGTTAGCAATCTGTGTATGTGTAGATCTGTGGTTATAGTGACCGGAGCGTCCGCATGTCGTATCCGTACGGTTAGCTCGGTTGTACTTGTAAAGGCGCGTTTTCACGAGGCGATCTACGTTGAACGGCCATTGAATCGAACGTAAATTGAAAACAAGTTGAATGTGTAAACCGAATTTCGATTTAGCCGTTCGATGCAGTATTGCGATTCGATCAAAGTAGAAACCCTGTCTACTTTTTCGGTTCGATCACGGTGGAATGCATATCAACTGCCCGTGGTCGAATGTGTAAACAACTGCGGTCGACAAGAATTAGTTGATCGTGCGGCGAGCCGGCGACACAATTTGTGTTTGTACAAGACCAATAACAAGTACGACGGTCACGTCCTGATGCTAGTGAAGTGTCCGTATAATTAAAAAAATTACATTTTCCATAATACTCGTCATTCGTCAATATGGGTGAAAAGTGGACAGACGCTGATATGAGCAAGTTCTTAGATATTTATCAAAATTATGAGATATTATGGAATCCCAAACTAGAGCTGTATAGGAATAATCAGGCACGAAAAAGTGGCTTGCAAGCTGAAGTTATCGATCAACTAAATTGAACCATGTAAACGCGATCGATCTATTTTTCATTTTCAACTAAAGTCGTTCGACCGCAGTCGCTCGATTGGAATCGACCCGTGTATACGCGCCTTAAACAAACGCGTCAGGAAGAGGGTGCGAAACGAAAAGTCGAGGGAGAAGACTGAGCATTATTTAGACCTAGTCGATGACGAAAAAAAATGTCATATGTACTTCCATATGTTCATAATTTCTGCGCCTGCACGCACCGGTTTGGGACCTTCGCGTGCCATGCACGGAGCGTATCGGCACCGTCAAAATATTCGTCGACGCTCCGTGCATGGCACATTACAGTGCTGGTCGGTGACTAAACGGTCTAGTGAGCACAGTCCCATACTATGCCATGCAAACAAATTTTTTTTTGTCTGGCACGTTCCTGTTACGGTTATGTTATGATACGTTGTAGTGGGTAGAGAGAGACCTTAATAGTGAATTTTTTTGTGGAAATGCGCTAGAGGCAGTTTCGATAATATATGAATCGAATTGCAAACTTTTTTATTTATGAAGGTATTTAAATGAAATTTGATACTTATAGGCATTTGGAATAAAAGCAAATTTGGTTTTACGCATGCGCAGTATTAACTTTCTTATTTATGGAAGCATTTAAATTAAATTTGATACATATGCACTTGGAAAAAAAGCAAATCTGACACTCGGTTCAAAATGTGGTTTACCTAGTGACGATATCGTTCATCGTTCATATCGTTCATATCATTAGAAAAAAATGGGATTTTTTAGTTACGAGCTCTAAAAAATGTGTGCTTCCTCGTAAGTTGTATATACAAGGTGGAACTTTACAGCTATATGAAAGATAATTGTCAGAAGATTTAGAGCATTAGAGGAAAGCAAATTAAATAGATTTGAGTTAATTAGTAGACAATTTTACTAGTTATGTATAATATAGACATATTCTAACTACATTAGCATATTTGGGCCCTTAGTTTCTATATTACTCTTATAAGACCAAGTATTAGCCATATGGCCTATCTGTTTGCATACTGATCGAACAACTGTTCGATCTATACAAGTTTCGATCTACAAGCTTGAGCAATATGTCCCAGCCTTTTACATTCTCTACAAGTGTAGGTCTTGTAAATACATTTAAATAAGTAATGGTTTTCCTGACCGCATGCTCTACACATATTATATCTACATGCTTCATCAATATGGCCTACTTTATTACATATTGAACATTTGGACTTCTTGTGAACACATTTAGAATTATGTTTTTCATTACCGCATGCCAGACATTTATTAAATGTACAAGCATCAGCGATATGTCCTACCTTATTACATATTATGCAAGTGGCAGCGTTATGGACACATACGGAGAACCAGTGTCTTTCTTTACCGCATGCCTTACACGTATGAAATCTACACGCTTTAGCAGTATGTCCTATCTTGTTACATATAGTGCAAGTGTAACCCTTAAATTTACAACCAACGAAATCGTGGTTCTCATAACCGCACGCATCACACTTTATGGGTGATCTTCTTGAAGCTCTGTTGCAATAATCAATAAAGTTGCTTGTTTGTGTGCGAACAATCCTTTTATTCCCTGATGTAGTAACTTGCGACGAAGTACCAGCTTCACTGCACATATTAGGAGCGAGATCTTCATCATCTTCATCTATAGTTAAAAAATGTTGTAAAAATCAATTATGAATTTTGATATATAATCACAACAATTTTCATATGAACCTGTCATGTTTACCAAACCTTTTACTGATGAGATTCACCAAGGAAGCGCCTGTTTCAAAGAATCATCAGTACATATAAAAAATATAGTGCAAACGCCAGTTTTAGTTATATTCAGGCGCAGATATGCTTTTGCGTATATCTGTGGTTCAGGAATAAGATTGCCATGTGAAGAATACTGAAGAAAAGGTATAAAACCTCTTCTTAAACATTAAAGATAAATAATGAAAATTACTAAACGCATTTACCTTCATCGCTACTATCATCCCATGCTTCTTTCACTATTTTGTGTGACACTTCTGCTTCCTCTTTCTCCTCGGTAGTGGTTTGTTGATTTGGGTTTGCAGCCAGTGATCTATGATCAGCTTCCGTTTGCTCTCTCGCCTGTAGTTCCTCACGCATCTCCCTAAGGAATGCCAATCGTTCCCGCTTGGCATCCTTCTGTCTACGTAATTGATTACCGTCTTTTATTTCTTCTTCATGCCGCGTCAAAGGAAGCTGGACGGTTTCGTCCCCACTCGTTAACTTCTGTGTCTTATGTACTAACTGAGGACCATGTCCTTTCTTAAATCGTTCTGCTTCAACTTTCTGTAACCCCTTCTTCTCCTTACGGGCTTCCAGTCTTGCCTGCCTAGCCGCATTTTTTCTTTTAACGCTTGCTTCCCTCATCGTTTCCATGTGCACAGCGAGAAGGCCTTGCGTAATCTTGTCTCCCTTCTCAACCCTTGTAATTGTATCATTTGCAACTTGCAAAAACCATTCCTGTCTTTTATGCTTTTTATCACAGTCCTGCATACGTGCTTGCTGAGTGTCTTTCTTCTTTCTAATCCGTTCATCCCTTTCTCTTTTCAACTTCTCTCGCTCCTCATGTATTTCGTTAAACATTTTCAATTGTATTTCCCTAACTTTATTTGCACTTTTAAATGGATCGTTTTCTTCGTCATGTATTAATTTCAGACCGTCCATATGCTTAGATGCGAGTGCCTGTATACGTCCTTCAACTGTTTCCTGCATAACGGCTATCGTCTCTTCGCAATTCCGAAGGGTTTGTTGTACAGAAAGTAGGGTTTTTGTACAAGAACCTGTCTCATTCATTTCATTTTCCTCTTTTCCCTTTGTCCTTTCTTGGTTCGGTGCGTTGAAGTCTTCTCGCTTGTGCCTACTTCTTTTGTTAATTTGTTGACTTTGCTCTATATTGATGGATATGTTTGACTCCTCATGGCATCGGATTTCTTGAGGCATAGTGAGTATAGCTTCTGTAGATCCCGTTTCTTCTTCATAGCCTGAATTGCAGTTCTTCGCTCCCTTACCAATTTTTGGCAATTGGGTGTTGCCGTTATCGTCTATGTTTTCTACTTTATTATGACGAACCTTGGTCCTAAAAAGAGTTGGCAGTATTATATGCGTGATTCTACATCTTAACTTACTTATTTCCACCCCTATGTTTTTTGGAAATGGGGATGTTCTCTATCGCTACTTGGGAAATCCTAAAAGAATCATACATATATAAAGAATAGAAAGTGAATGCTTTTACCTTTCGGTATGACTTCCATCCTTGTAGTCATGTTTCGCTTGATCCATGATGAAGTATCCTTGAAATAATTATCGAAATCTTTTCATATCGTAACCCGTAAAACGAAAGTAAGCAACCTATAACATCAGTGATTGGTTTGTTTTAGGGTAATTAGTGTTAACCGATCTTCAATGTATTTGATAGTAAATATGAGGGTAATTACAAAACAATTTTGCATTTTTTATTAGTCTTTTTTCAATGTACAGTACCAGTACCACATACCAAATAAAATATTAGCAAGAACAGGTGGAGCTTGGATATCAAAGTGGGTGGGACGTCCTTCACGTCAGAGCGAAAAAATTCAAATTATATTAATTAATTAATTTGGTGTTAGACGGTTGATCGTAATACAACGTTTTAAATTTTAGCATTATCAATCCGTCCGATTTAAATTAAACTCAGGAATTAACTTAAATAACACGGAGTAATGTCAACGTTAGTTGCTGACCTATGCCAAGAAAATTATTTCAAGTTGTAAACCCCAATGACCAATGACATTTCCGCGTACAGTTCATGTATTCAATGATTGACACACTTGAAAACTTTTCAAGTTATTGTAAAGTATGCAGGTGGAGATAGAACGATTTTCTGGCTGAGCCAAAGACATAAGCCGTTGCAGCTACTTCTACAACTGAAGCAGAGGCGACCGAAGGTGACAAAGAGGTAATCTAAGCAGACGTCTCAAGGGAATCATTCAACTTAAAATCAATTATAGCAATTAGACGAGAGTTACCAAAAAAACCTCTAAAGGTTTTATTTGTCCAAATACAATTATGTGTGTAGTGTGTAGTAAAAAATATTCTAAAATATCTTACCAAAATGAAATGGCGTCGGCACGGTGACTTTGAAAGAATTGTACAAGAGGCATCTAATACAATTCACCCATAATAACTGAGATGTGATATCGTGTTGCACCTTTATTTTAACTGAACCTTTAATAGCAGAGTGGGATATATGCCTAGCGACGATTTTGATCTTACTTTAAAATCGCAAATAACGTATGATCAGGTATAACATAAAAGACCTTGAAAATTCTTATTCATCTGTGTAAATAAACTGATATTTTTGTATTGTTACTTAAATCGTTTTGAAGATATCAACAAAATTGTACCTACTTATCAAGTATGACTAATTCGCACAGCAATTATTAATCAATATCAGGAAAAAATAAAAAGAAGATAAGTACCTACCAACAAAGTGAATGATAACAATTTTTTTGAAGGAGAATTTTTCCCTATGACTGAAAAATTTAATTCGTCGCACCTCTGCTTCAGACCATTTACGAGTAATAACAAATAAAACAAACTACATTTTCAAAATGTTCAATTACAGTGCGTTCGAGATAAGAGGGTCAATATCTCTTTTATTTAAATTGTTAAATATATATTTATATGTGATATCACTCCCGGTATAACCGGAAATTGATGCAACTTTTGTTTTTCAATTGCAATGCCTATATTTTTTCCGATATTTGAAAAGAGCAATAAATTTGCTGTAGGTACGACAAAAAAAATGCATACAACTCTTGTGCAGATATAGCGCATTTTTTAAACCGAAATAGCTTAAGTAAATGGTTGGGTCATAAGTTAGTAGCATACTAACTAACTATGTTTACTTAATCCTTGGTAGATTTGGTAATCAACGGGGAGGAGGCTCTTTACACACAAAGATTTAAAGGTCGCCTGGCGAACAGAAAGCTGCCGAGTGCCGGTGTATTGTATTGATAAGTAGAACGCGAGATATGAGCGTTTAAGGAAAAAATTCTTTTGAGCCCCTTTCGATCGAGGGGCAGAAGAAAAATGTACCCAAAATTCCTGGGTTACCTCATTACAGCAATATAAATGAAAGTTCTATTATATGCTATTAGTTGGCAACAATGTAGCCACTAAATCAAATAGAAGCTGCCCCATTGGGCAAAAAAGAAAGTCATTTCCCTTTAGGGTAATGCATCTGTCTACTACAATTTCAATCGCTAATCTTTTTTTTTTGGATTAGAAACTATATATTGAAAAGTGAAATGTTTTTGTTTTAACAAACTGGTGTTTCCTTTATCAACCGAAATCATATGTTCAGAAATTCATAAATATAATTGATGCAAAAAATACATACCCAATTTAGAACTAATAAATACTTAGTCGATTTCCCAATGAAATGTTATCACAAACGATGTTTTGATACTGATTTAATGAAGTTATTGCCGCTATTGGGTAGTGATGCCTAATGCGTTCTTTCCGTATATCACACTACTGGTTTTTATTGTCACTATTTATGTTCACTTTTCCGTAAGTATGTTAGTGTACTAAAAGTACAACCGTTGAGTGAAAATTCAATGGTATAACAGAATAAATTACATGAACAAATAAACATGTTCTATAAACAAACGCATGTGCTTGATAGCCGGTGCAAGCCGCAGGAAAATAATACCTAGGTAGTATTCTTTGGTATCACAACTATTGCATGCGAGATATGCACCTATAGGTACCTATGCAACTCGTGAATGCAGCGGATGGAGGGAAACTTCAGAGGGAACATATTATTCACATACAGTGAATTTTTTTAAGAACATAGGAGTTTGCATGCAATGTAATTTCCCTATGTTCGATTTTTAAAAAAAACACATCAATCTATGAGGTGTGCGCGGTTCACATTCCCAAATCGCGCAACTTGTGTGACTATGAACAGCAACTCTAATAGTATTGATGATGAAAAGTGCTCGGTAAGATTTTTTTTAAAGAAACCATGTGAGGCCATAGCAACTTTAGGATAAATTTTTCTTAAACTTACGATAACTTGACCTCACAGGGCAAGCGCTGACACCACAACTCATTGTGAACCAACCTTCAATTATTTGTAGGTCATGTGAACCTGGTATTCTACTAATTTGATCTAATACATAAATGAAGAAAATAAGAAAATAAATACCGAAAACAATTACAATAAATGTTCGAAGTTTCCTCCTTGACATTATAAGCAATAACCTAACCGATTTCGTAATTAAATTGGACGGCGGTATTTTTAAAAATGTGACAGCTGACATCTATATATCTACTACTCATTTGAACTACTCAATAGATTGAGGTGTTTTTTTTTTGAAAATCGAACGTAGGGAAATTACATTGCATGCAAACTCCTATGTTCGCATTAAAAAAAAATTCACTGTATATAAAAGACCTAGATGAAACATTTTGTATTTGATTCATGGTTCATGTATTAATTTTTAATTAAAGGGTATAACTATTGTGCACTGTTTTCGGTTTGGTTATTTAAATGTTTGAATTGGTCAAATTCAGTTTCAGTTCAGGGGAATCTTATTTGTATAGAAATTACTAATCAGCCATTCATGGTGTGCTTAGCGTATTTTCCTCAAAGTGAAAAATCGCTATTGGCTACACTTTGACGTCCGTTCGTCTGTCCGTCACACGTACTCCTTCTACTGAAACGATTTTGGCGATATAGGACTCATTTGAAAGGGTTTGGTCCAAGGATTCTGTGCATACCCATATTTTTTGGTTTTGCGCACGCGCAGTGTCAAAAATTTGGTTTAGCGCATGTGCGATGCTAACTTTTTTATTTATAAAGACATTTAACTGAAACTTTATATGCAAACACTACGAATATAAGTAAAATTAACGACGTTTTGAAAATGTTGTTTTGCGCATGCACAATGCCAACTTTCTTATTTATGAAAGCATTTAAATGAAATCTTATATACAGCCATTTGGAATAAAGACAAATCTAACACCAGGTGCAAAATTTGGTTTTGCCCATGCGCAATTCCAACTTCCTTATTTACTGAAGCATTTAAATGAAATTTAATACATAGGCACTTGGTATACAAGCAATCTAACACCAGTTTTAAAATTTGGTTTTGCGCATGCGCAATGGCAACTTTCTTAATTATGAAAGCAGTTAAACTAAATATCATATGAACGAATGAAACTAAAACTAATACCGGTTTCAAAATTACTGTTAACGCATGCTGTATGTTTTATTTATGAAGGAATTCAATGAAATTTCTAATGTAGACAATGCGCAATTCTATTTACGAAAGCATTAAAAAAGTTTCGTATGTAAACACTTCGAATAAAAGTAAAACTAATGCCCCTTTCAAAATTTGTATGTATTTCTATACGCTTCACTATTTTTCATTAAACTGTATACACTTCGACGATAGGTGGCTCATTTGAAAGAGAATGGGGTAAGGATCTCGTGCCTACCGGTATTTTTTCCTGGTCCTAGCATTAATATTATTAGGAGGAAAATACGCTCTCGTCATTTATGTTTGCATAATGACTTTTTAAGCTTGTCTTTTATTTGATGGGTACGTCCCTTTGCGTGAATATCGGGTGACGAAACAAAAAGCTCCGTGGTTAACCAATATTAATTATTGCTGTTAAATTGCGTGATAAAACACAAGCAATTTGTCAACAATGGAAAATCGTTCATTCCTGGAAATACCAGTACCGTCTATTAAAAAAATTGTCGGATCTGGCTGTAGATCACAACAGCTCTCACTGTAACAGATGGTCGTTTAGCCGTTTTGAAAAGTTTTATTTTCAAATTATAATTTGATTCAACATAAGGAAATTTGCACATACACCGCTTCATAGCGAACGTAAACGAAAGTATGTCTGGAAATAAGAGCGATAACAATGTGTCTATTTTCGATAAAAAGGTTCCATTTTATTTTATCTAAGTGAGCGACCCTCGTAAATGTATCTAAACCGTTACAGTTCACACAACCATTTTATCTGACAGACGCTAATGATGTCTCTACTTCGCCACCAAGTAGATAAATCCACTAGTTTTAATTTGATATAGTTTTATGAATGTAACTTCTTTGTACATGATATTCAAAACTTTACCTTGCGTATGGCAGATTGAAGTTGTTATAACATTTCAATCAAATTCGTGCGGGATTGATAATGTTTCACTGCAAATGATGCCTTTAGCATCTATTGTGCAAAGAATTTACTAGATTTGTCACATAACCTTCCCGAACATCAATCTGGCTTTAGGAGGGGATATAGTTTCAAAATGGCATTGTATAAAGTTACTGACGACATTTTGTCTGCTGTCAACGAGTTCAAGTTTGCAGTCTTAATCTTAGATCGTACAATATTAACTATATGAGCTAGGGTCTTAATATTAGTGGACTTCTCCAAAGCGTTTGATATGATTGATCATGATATTTTATTAGCAGTACTACAGTTTATTGTCTTTGACCCGAATTCTTCTATTACTTACACGTTTCCATTACTATTAAAAAAACCGGAGCTAATTATTTGAAATTGATGACAATGATTAATTTTCGATTTGGCGTTCCCCAGGGTTCTATTCTAGGACCTCTGCTGTTTTCAATATATACTGCTAACTATAAATAAATGAAAATATTGTCATTGCCACTTGTATACTGATACGCAATAAATCACATTATGCACCGTCCGAAGTTGAAAATAAAGGATTCAAGAAATCTTTGGTTAAGCTCAAGCGTCAATTTGTAACAGGAGTCCGCGACTGTTTTATTTATTTTTTCGTTTTTATTTGGGAGAGAATTTAATGTGATTTTGCCGATTTTGGTATGTATTTGAAACGCCTTTATGGGGTTACAAAATTTTTTTAAATTGGACCAGGCAAACTGTACACAGTAGAGGGTAGGTTTTTTTTTACAAAATTTCGTTATTAAAATTTTTGGGCGAATGATCCTGCATTATGGTCTTGACGGTATTTCTGCGGGTGAAGAGCCGCCAGACTGTCGCGACATAAGACGAAATTAATTAGTACATGGCGGCCCTGCTGAAATAAATCCGCTCGTTAGCAACGTACTGCGTAGCGTGTTTATTTTTGTGGGAATTTTCCGGTAATGCTGGGTCTATCTATCTAACATTTTCGGTTTTTGGAGATATGTGATGAATAGGTAGTGTTGATACTGCGAAAAATTCCAAGACTCTAGGACCATTCCCCTAGAAGTAGTTCGAAACGGCAGAAGTGGGTCCGGACGAACGGACGGACAAAACGCAAACAATAGCACATTTTTTTTAATTCTTAAAAATGCGCTAAAACTACATTCTCATTTTTCTGATTTTTTTTAACTTCTTCATCAGTACAAGGCCCTAGACAAGGCCCTTTTAAGCTCCGCATTGATTTATGGTACTACTGATATACTTAAATTCTCATTTTTAGGACATGTATTGATTAATCTTGGTTTGAACGAAAGTGATTTTCAGATTACGCCGCGTCATCCTTGACATCGGTCGATCGCCTAATAAGGGTTAGGTGACACCGCATATTTTCTAGTAGGCTCTATTTGGAGTGATAAACTCTATTCATAAAATAAATATGGAAACACCAAATATAAGTTACAGGGATTATTAAACCGCTTTGCCTTTATTATTTCCATAAAAGATTCAGGGTATACGCGTAGGTACGGCAAAGTGAACAAGTTGGAGCCCTAAAACTCTCGAAGTACTCAACTTTGTTTTTATGCACCTTTTGTACTTTACCAAAATCCAGTAGAGAGGGAGTTGGGCGAAGCTGCGCTTTCAAGTTGTGTAAGTTAGCGTCGCGACGTCGACCTCAATTCTACTAGTAGTGTAGACCCGCCGCCGAATGTGTAGAATGTAGCGGTTAGATTAAAAATATCTACGTAATGTTGGTAAAGAGTGGACGTTTATTAAACTATAAAAATCTGCACTTATTTGATGCCTTCTCCTTTTTTTAAATGGAAATTTAAAATATACCTACTCTACTAAATAGCCATATGTGAGTATGGACCCACGTGTAGAAGTTGAAGGATGGATATGAAAACTCGCTTAAAAGCCTGGTGCTTTGACTTTCGAATAAAACAGGCGTTAGCACACGCTGGACTTTTTATTACGTTAATGGCGTATACAGTTCTTGGCGGTTTGGTGAGTAATTTCTGTTTATTACTCGTATTTAAAAATAAATTAATTATAATTAAATTAAAATATAATTGGACACAAATCTTTTTCGAAAAATCAGAAGGAGGTCTTGGCCAGAGCTTCAGCGTGCTAAGCGAAAAGTAGGTTTCAGTGTTTATTACTTTTGGCATTCTAAAATGAGCAATCGACAAAATTTTCAAATAAGGTCAAATCTGAAAACAACCCATATTGTTATATTGTAATAAAAAAAGTATAATTTTCTATTAATTAAAGACATAATTTAATAAAACAAGATGATGTCTTTCCCAATCTTGTTTTTTTAAATATTTCAACCCAATTTGAAAGTATGGAATCCATGGAACATACATAATCTAATGCCGTTTCTGCTAGTGCATTAGTGATCCCAAACTATATAAGAAATGCAAAAAGCAGAGAATTACTGAGATTGTTCATTAATTCTGTAGTAATTACATGAATTACAGGTCGTCATAGTGTTGGACATGGACTGATTATTTTGTTCGATATTTTTGTTATTCAATTTTTCGATCTTGTGCTTAATAAGGTTTGATTTATTTTACCCTTTGTGTGTTCATGTTTCAGAGATTACAATCAGTTTGAGTGATAGCAATAAACCGGATGTTAATTTCAGTGATTTAGTGATTTAGAATAGTAACAGGGAATTAAACGAATTTTGTTTAAAAAATCTGTCTTATGGATCCATTTGTGACCTACTTGCGAATTTAATGTGTAGTTGGCAGTAGGTACATTAAAAAAAATTTATTTGAGAATGGACCAAAGATAGAAAATGCTTTTAGAAGCTCACGGATTTGAATGTTTGGACAAACGCAACAAATTTTCATGGTCTGTTTTACGACCTGGAGAGCAACATTCGGTCAACGGAATTACAAATTTTGTTTTTAGTGTATACCTTCCACGCATAAAACAAATTAAAATATAACATTTATTTTCCCAAGGTACGAATATAGTATGTAGTTAGGGAACAAAAAGCACATCGTACTCTCAAGTGCTGAATAGAAATATTTCGTTTAGCATTTGTATAGGTCCACACTTCCTATAAAGACCAGAAAGATAAAAATAATGTAAAAGGGCAACAATCCGATTTGCATATTTTAACTGTTACAAACCATATATATGTCTATATTGTATTCTTCACCATTATTGATGCATAATTTGGGAAAACGTAATCCTATTTTATTTAATTATTTTATATCATTATCATTTTATGATTATCATGTGCAAATCAAAGTAAAATGTCTAGTCCGATGACTTCAGAACCTTATATTAAAACAAAACACTCAACCGATTTGTATCAAATAAGGGTAGTTTAATAAAAATTAATAACTTCGAATTTTTCTGCAACTAGTGCATGTTGATTCAATTTATGGTTGTCAAGCATTCTGATTGGGCGAAAAAATTAGTTTTATTGGTGGAAAAGGTTTGAGTCACGAGACGTTGTCAATTAGAACAAGTTAAAAAGTAATCGTAAACGATTTACATAAAGCGCATTTCCACTTGCATTCATTTCCCATTTGTAAGATGCAACTTCTGTTAAAATCGTAAAAATCCGGCCACAAATATGAAAGATAGCGTTGCACATGGGCAATCCATTTTT